CTTCCTCTTGCACTTACTCATCCTTTGCCTCCAGGGCACCCATTAAAACACCAGCCGCAACCTCCAGAGCACTCGTCCAGTCCCCCACCCCAGGCTGGCAGCTGCCATCCCTCTTCTGGACCCACAGTTCTCTATTCTCACTTTCAGCTCTATTCCTTTCCTGTATGTGTGTCCATATGTCTCTTCAATGATGTCATCAGCTTCTGGGAGCAGAATTTGTATCTTTCTCATCTTTGATATTGCCCCCAGCCAAACACACACAGACACACGCGCACACACAGAGCCTCAAGAATAGTGCCTGCTGTTGGGTAGGCTTTCAGTGCTCATTAAATGAATAAATAAATACATGCTTGAATAGTGAATACTGCTCCACCCATCCTGGTTTACAAATGTGCATTCACTTCCAAATGTTTGCAACAGAAATCGTGGACCCAGTCAGTTCTTTGATCTCCTGTCTAAGTGGCTCAGGATTCTTCTGAAATCAGAGGGGCATATCCCAGGCTCTTGGCAGGACGGTGCTCAGTGCCAGCTGCTGGTCTCTGGGTTTGGAGCCCCCTCTCCTGCCTCCCAGCTGTGTGACCCTCACTGGGTTTCTCTCCCTCTTGGTGCTTCAGTTTCTGTTCTGAAACATGGGGTGACAACTGTGTGTTTCAAGGAGCGGTTGTGAGTGTTAAGTCAGTGAGTTCGTGTAAGAGTCTGGTGCACAGTCAGGCCCCGTGAGCCTGGCCTCCTGTGCCTTGAGGTGGGTGCAGTGCGATATTGCCCCTCTAGAAGAGGGAATTCTGCCCCATGGCACTCAGCTGGGTCAAGAGAGTGCCGCAGGTCTGCTCTTTGCTGATGGCCTCAGCCATTTTGTCATCAAAAGTCCTCCCCCCAGCACTTGGCCGTCACCAACTTGCTTTCTATCTCGACGGAGGTACTTCATCTGATTAGTTCCTATAAGTGAAATCATACAACATGTGGCCTTTGGTGTCTAGCACAATGTTTTCAATACTGATGGTTCCTTTTTAAATGCTCTGTATTGAATGAACTCGTCCACAGCTAATTGAATTCTCCTGGAAATGTGAAGCAGGTGAATAAAGTCCTCTTTCTGTGCTGTGCTTAGTCACTCTTTGTGACACCGTGGACTGTAGCCTTCCAGATTCCTCAGTCCGTGGGATTTCCCAGGCAAGAATACTGGAGTGGGTTACCATGCCTTGTAAGAGTCTGGTGCACAGTCAGGCCCCGTGAGCCTGGCCTCCTGTGCCTTGAGGTGGGTGCAGTGCGATATTGCCCCTCTAGAAGAGGGAATTCTGCCCCATGGCACTCAGCTGGGTCAAGAGAGTGCCACAGGTCTGCTCTTTGCTGATGGCCTCAGCCATTTTGTCATCAAAAGTCCTCCCCCCAGCACTTGGCCGTCACCAACTTGCTTTCTATCTCGACGGAGGTACTTCATCTGATTAGTTCCTATAAATGAAATCATACAACATGTGGCCTTTGGTGTCTAGCACAATGTTTTCAATACTGATGGTTCCTTTTTAAATGCTCTGTATTGAATGAACTCGTCCACAGCTAATTGAATTCTCCTGGAAATGTGAAGCAGGTGAATAAAGTCCTCTTTCTGTGCTGTGCTTAGTCACTCTTTGTGACACCGTGGACTGTAGCCTTCCAGATTCCTCAGTCCGTGGGATTTCCCAGGCAAGAATACTGGAGTGGGTTACCATGCCTTCATCCAGGAGATCTTCCCAACCCAGGGATCAAACCCTCATTGCAGGCGGACTCTTCACCATCTGAACCACCAGGGAAGCCCCCTTGTCTTTCTGTTTGGTATTAAACATCAGGAGTCATTTCTCTTATATTGTTGCTTTCCCAGCAGCTTTCTCAACTTCTGCCGTCCCGGAAGACATGAACCACCCAGCTGTATCCTCAGGTAGGTCAATGAACAATGAGTTAAAGCAATGAAGATGGGTGTGGTGTATTGTTACATGCCACTTCCAGCATTTTAAGCCCAGAGGCAGGATGTTGCAGGTCAGGCTGAGGGAGAATTCACTGACAGCCAAGGGCTCTGTGGTCAATGTGGTGCCCAGTGTCACCTTCAGAACCAGATTTTAAGCTCCAGAGAACAAGGGTTTTATCTGCCTTTCTCATCACTGTATCTGCAGCACTGTCACAGTGCTTGGCACGTTAGAGGCACCCAAGGAAAGTTTATTGGATCCGTAAGTGAATGTATAAGACATGCATGGGTTTTCCAGGTGGCACAGTGGGGAAGAATCCACCTGCCAGTTCAGGAGACACAGGAGATGCAGGTTGGATCCTTGGGTCAGGAAGATCCTCTGGAGTAGGAAATGGCAACCCTCTCCAGTATTCTTGCCTGAAAAATTCCACGGATGGAGGAGCCTGGCAGGCTACAGTCTGTGGGGTTGCAAAGAGTCAGACACGATTCATCGACTGAGCACATAAGCCCTCCATGTGTGGATGGGCTGTCTGACCCTGCTGGGATAGCTCTGGTCTTAGTTAAGAATAGTCCTGCTATGAATGGATAAGGAAACTGTGGTACATATACACCATGGAATATTACTCAGCTGTTAAAAAGAATTCATTTCAATCAGTTTTAATGAGATAGATGAAACTGGAGCCCATTATCCAGAGTGAAGTAAGCCAGAAAAATAAAGACCAATACAGTATGCTAACACATGTATATGGAATTTAGAAAGATGGTAATGATAACCCTATATGCAAAACAGAAAAAGAGACACAGATGTTCAGAACAGACTTTTGGACTCTGTGGGAGAAGGCAAGGGTGGGATGTTTTGAGAGAACAGCATCGAAACATGTATATTATCTAGGGTGAAACAGATCACCAGCCCAGGTTGGATGCATGAGACAAGTGCTCGGGCCTGGTGAACTGGGAAGACCCAGAGGGATCGGGTGGAGAGGGAGGTGGGAGGGGGGGATCGGGATGGGGAATACATGTAAATCCATGGCTGATTCATGTCGATATATGACAAAAACCACTACAATATTGTAAAGTAATTAGCCTCCAACTAATAAAAATAAATGAAAAAAAAAATAGTCCTGCTAGACAGTGTGTAGTAGCGGCAAGTCCCTTTGCTCAAGAGACCTGACCATCACTCTGGAAAATGCTGATAGCCCACTGTTGGCACTCACATCCCTCCTCAGAAAGAAGTTCTAGGATTTCACATGTTAGCAAACTAATGAAGCCGAATTCCAACAAATATTTTTATTTTTTCATCTCAGCAAATAATGAAGAGTTACCAACTGTCATAACAGGTAGAACAATGATTTCATCACTGGATCTATAGATACACAGCCTTACTGTGCAAATGGGTGGTACATGGATGGTCATGTCATCAGATTAGACAGTGTCCTTCGAGGGGTCGACGATCAAATCTGTATGGATATTATGATTCTTAGAACTTTTGTCCGATTCTTCCATGATTATTTCACTACTGCTGAGCATCCTTATGCAGCAAGGGGACAAGGCTTTGGGGGCAGCAGAACACGTTTACGAGCTTTCTAACGTCAGTCTGAAGGTAACTCCAGCCTCATTAAAAACGGGTCATTTGTTTTGACATGAGGCCGGCCCAGAGGTTCTGGTAGTGCTGTGGCATAGCTGGTGGCTAGTCGCCAGCTGCTGGTTGAGTCCTTGTCTGAAGTGCTCTTGTGTCTGGTCTCAGAAAGAGATGCTTCGGTCCTAATCATAGTTTCCCTGTTGTTCTAGTTCTACCTGTGGTTGACTCGCCAGCAGCAAGTCGCAGAGCCAGTTTTCCTTGGCCAAGCCCATCAGGTCAGAACCTTCCTGGAGCTTCAACATCAGTCCTTCCAATGAATATTCAAGGTTGATTTCCTTTAGGATTGGCTGGTTTGACTCCTAATTCTATCTGGCTAATATTTATCCTGTGAGATAGAAATGGGATGAAAATGACCATGCTAAATCAGGCTTTAAAGCAGTTAATGGAGGCTGGTTTGCTTGGTCCTTATCTCTTGAAGCCTAAAAGGTTTCCCAGTGCCTAATTCAGTATGCCATACAGACGGAACTCATGGACATGCAGTGCTGACCTGGCTCTCCTGTGCTCACGCTCCCCTCTAGGAAACCGCCTCATCCTGGGCTGCTTGGCCCCTCTTCTGGGCAGCTGCTAGAGGGCAGATCCCAAGCACTCTTTAGGGGTGGCTTGGTGGACAGCTCAACACTGAAATGAAACACCAGCAAAAAAGGGAGTTAGAAACGAGCCAACTACCCTGTCACCTGGTGCAGTAATCTTCCCCCATCAGAACTAAGTTAGCAGGCCGTTGCCGGTGTCTGGGGCCACTGAAGGAGTATAAATTAACGGTCATTGGGACTTCCCCAGTGGTCCAGTGGTTAAAACTTCATCTTCCAATGCAGGGAGTGCAGAGTTGATCCCTGGTCAGTGAGCTAATATCTCACATGCCTCACAGTCTCCCCCCCCACCCCAAAAAAATCATAAAACAGAAATAATAAAGACTTTAAATGGTCCACATCAAAAAAAATCTTTTTAAAAAGTATTAATGTTTTAAAATGGTCATTGATTTTAGGACATAATAGTTTTCTATGACTATGCCCACTAGTCATCACCAAATCTCTTTTTTTGGAAGAAAATTACCATCTGTTTTCCAGAGTGATTAGATCAGAAATTTATCCCCCTGGAATCTGATCCTCCCTAATAGGCAAAGAAACTACATTAGTTAAAAATTTATATTTATGTGATTTTAAAGTACTTTGGCCACTAGGAGAAAACCATGGGGCCATTTCCATCACTTCTTTTTGTCCTAAAGCAGCAGTTTTTTGTTTTGTTTTGTTTTAACTTTAATATGCATCAGAACCACCCAGAGGGTTTGTTAAGACACAGATTGCTGGGCCACGCCCCCAGAGTTTCTGATTCAGTAGGGTGGGGTGTGAGAATTTGCGTTTCCAACAAGTTCAGGATGGTTATGCTGATGGTCTGGGGACCACACTTTGAGAACCACTGTCTGAAAACAAGGAATCTTTCTTATCCTAATAATTAGAAGCAGAATTATCATCTTCATCATCCTCATTGTCATCATCATCACCTTTGCCATTGCCATCATCGCCATCGTCTTCACCACTGTCACTATCCTCACCACTGTCACCATCACCATTGTCATCCTCATCACCATCCTCACAACCACTGCCACCATCACCTTTGTCATCCTCATCATCATCAGCACCACTGTCACCATCAGCACCACCATTGTTGTCAGTGCCATCAGGATCAGCATCATTGTTACCAACACCACCATCATCACCATCATCACCATCATCAGCAAAAACTAGTCTGTCTGGTAAGTCGAACTTTTTATTTGTGAGTCACTTCCCTGGTTGTTTTCAGTTTATGTGCTTTTATGGTTGTGTATAATCAACACTGGGCTTCCCAGGTGGCCATAGTGGTAAAGAACCTGCCCGCCAGTGCAAGAGACATGGGTTTGACCCCTGAATCGGGATGATCCCCCAGAGGAGGGCATGGCAACTCACTCCAGTATTCTTGCCTGGAGAATCCCATTGAGAAGCCTGGTGTGCTACAGTCCATAGGGTCACAAAGAGTTGGACATGACTGAAGTGACTTTGCAAACTTGTGACTAATGACTAGACTATGACTAATGTGCATAGCCAACATTAAGCATCCAGACAAGAATTTTTAAGTAAATTATTAAGATATCTGCAAAATATTTGAATATCTAGTGCTATGTAAATAAACATCCCTATGGATGAATCATTCTCCATTTTTAGCTAGGAGCCTGAGGTTGCATTCATGGCCTCCTCTTCATCTGTCAGCCACTGTCCTCATCCAGATACTCGTCACCTCTTCCTGCCTGGATGAACTCAGACTCCTAATTGGCTTCCCTGCCCACAGGCTCCCAACATTCTATAGTTGGCCTGCAGTCAGAATTCAGTTTAGTTCAGTTGCTGTCATGTCCAACTCTTTGCAACCCCATGGACGCTAGGCTGCCCTGTCATCACCAACTCCCAGAGCTTGCTCATACTCATTTCTATCAAGTCAGTAATACCATCCAACATCTTATCCTCTCGACCCTTCTCCTCCTTCCTTCAATCTTTCCCAGTGTCAGGGTCTTTTCAATGAGTCAGTTCCTCACATCAGGTGGCCAAAGTATTGGAGCTTCAGCATCAGTCCTTCCAATGAATATTCAGGACTGATTTCTTTTAATTAGGCTTATTAAGATAGAATTTACCTACAGTAAAGACTGTTGTAGTGCAGAGAATATTATTACAGCTATGTAACCATTACCACCATTAAGATATAAAACATCCCATTACTTTAAAGGATTCTCTTATACCCCTTGCAGTCAGTCCCCTCTCCTGACCCCCAGATTCTGGCAACCACAGATATGATTTCTGTGCCCGTGGGCCTGCTGTTCCCAGAATATTATGTATTGAATTAAGACAATGTGCCACATTTTGTGTTGGGCTTCCTTACTTAGCATAATACTTTTGAGATTCATCAGTAGAGTTCTATGTATCAGATATCCATTCTTTTTTACTGCTGAGTAGTATTCCACTCCATGAATATACCAAAATTTATTTCACTGTTTACTACTTGATGGATATTGTATTTATTTCCAGTTTTTAACTATTATTAATTAAGCTGCTGAAGCATTCACATACAAGTCAAGTGTCCCATTTTGTTTTCCCACCAGCAACACTTGAGAGTGACGGTTGCTCCATGTCCTTGGGAATACTTTGGATTTTCTGGGTTTTGTTTGGTCATTATAGTCTCTACTATAATGAGATAGTGACATGTCTTTGTGGTTTTAATTTGCCTTTCCATGTGACAAATGATCCTAAGTTTTGCATGCGTTTATTTGCATCCCTTCTTTGGTGAAGTGTCTGCTGAAAGCTTTCATTCTTTTATTTTATTCTTTTTATTTTAAACCGGATTGTTTATCTTACTGTGTTCTAAGAAAGGTCATTATACATTCTGGAAACAAGTATCTTTTCAGATATGTGTTTTGTAAATATTTTTTTCTCAGTCTATGACATCTTTTCAGTTTCTTATTGGTGTTTTTTGAAGAGCAGAAAATTTAAAATTTAATGAGTCCAGTTATCAAATGTTTTTCTTTAATGAATTATACTTTTGTGTTTTATCTAAGGAATCTTCACTTAGCCAAAGGTCTCACAAATTTTCTCTTTTCATCTAGAAGTTCCATAGTTTTAGGTTTTTCATTTAACTTTATGATCCATTTTTGTCCATTTTTTAATATGGTTTAAATTATAGCTCAAAGGATTTTTTTTCATAGAGATGTCTAATCATTCCAATGCCATTTGTTGAAAAGACTCTCCTAACTCCACTGAAATACTTTGGCACTTTTGTCAAAAATAAAAGAACCATTACATAACCATTTACAAAAATAAAATAGACCATACATGTTCTATTTCTAAACTCTTCTACTGATTTATGTGACTGTTGGTACACCTGTAACACATAGCGTCTTGATTACTGTAGTTTTCGATTAAGTGTTTTTTTAGGGTGAGTCTTGAAATCGGGTATTGTGAGTGTTCCAACATTGTTCTTTCTTCTTCTCTTTCAAAATTATTTTGGCTAACCTAGGTTTTTTGCCTTTCACAAATATAGTATTTTAGAATCAACTTACCAATTTACACAAAAAAAAGTCTGCTAGGATTTTTAATTAGGATTGACTCTACATATAAAGTTGGAGGAAGTTGGCATCTTAACTATATTGAGTCTTCGGAGCCATCTATACACTGTGTCTCTTCATTTACTTAAGTCTTTATCTCATCAGAAGTTTGCATTTTTCCATGTACAAATTTTTCACATACTTACCAGACTTATCCATAAGAATCCCTTGGTTTTGGGTGCTATTATAAATGGCATTTAAAATTTTTTCTCTTTCCATATTTATTTATGTGGCTAATGAGTTAATTTTCCCCCAACTAACCAAGTATTTATTAAATTGGGAAAATTATGATAAATTTTTAAAATATATTCACTTCTTAGTTCATCAACCCCACTCCTATCTGTTATCAGATCTGATTTCCAGTTTTATAGATCAGGAAACTGGTGTTCATTTGTACCTAAGTGTGTGCTAAATAAGAGTTAGATCTCAGATTAGAGCAAACATGTCTTTAAGCTGGACATTCACTAAGCCCTTGAGAACTGGCTTCTTATGTTTCACAAAGAGATGCTAGACATGCTGTGGGGGGTGAGACAGCTCTCCTTTCATTCAGCTTTCCTTCTGGTTCTCTTCATGTGTCTTGTGTGTTCACCTCTAGTTGATGTTTTCTTTTTACTGCAGCTGCTGAAGTAACAATTGCCCCCATCACCTCTGGAGAAGAACAAACACCAACAGGTATACAAAATATAACTCGCGTTTGCAACAAAACTTTATATTCTGTATATTCAAGTTTACAAGTTAACTTTCACATTTCTGAAAATAAGAACAAAAATGTAAATTTAATAACAAATATTGCTAGGAGGCTCCAGCCCTTACCAGGATCTTTGAGGTAATCAAATAAAGATGTTTCTGAGATTGTGCTTCCAGAACCACTAGTTCAACAAGACGTTAAGGTGAATCACACAGGTGCGCACACACACACACATTCCATGGTCTCATGAATTTAGGCAACATTGCATTAAACAAACTAAACAGGTTTCTTCACTACAGGATGTCTGTTGTTCAGTCTCTCAGTTATATCCAACTCTTTTGCTTCCCCATGGACTATAGCCCTCCAGGCTCCTCTGTCTGTGGAATTCTCCAGGCAAGAATACTGCAGTAGGTTGCTATTTCTTCTTTCAGGGGATCTTCCCGACCCAGGGCTTGAACCCAGGTCTCCTGCTTGGCAGGTGGATTCTTTACCACTGAGTCATCAGGGAAGCCAACAGGATGTCTAGGAGCCGTCCAGTATAATTAACCTTATAAAATTCCCATGAGAAGTCATGGGTTGCCATGCCTATGAAATACACTTGACCCAAATCCCTTTGTCTTCATGTCTATTCGGAAGTTTTCTGTCTAATACAGTAAGGAACATGTGAAGTCCAGGTATTTGGGATTAATGCATATGCTGCCAGAATATTTTAATCAAATTAAAATAGCATAGACCCTCATCTCCCTAAATATGTGAATTTGAAGTCGCTGCCCTCTAATACCTGTGCTGCCTGAAGCAAGGTCCCCCCTCCCCCTCTACCTGTTAAAGTCCTACCGTGGCTGGGCTCCTTTTCTCCAGGTAGCTTCCCCTGGCCTCCACAAGGACACACATCCTCTGTACTTGTGTCTTTTCTGTTGACATTGCTCATAATCCACTTCATATTACAATTACTTAGACACTTATTCTAGCTTCCGACTGAGTTACAAGCCTTTGAAACGCAGGCTCTCTCTCTCTCTCTCTCTCTCTCTCTTTGTATCAAATATTTTAAAATAAATGATGGCATACAGCGTAATTATAGAAGCTGGCTTCATTTCTTTTAGTTTTCTTAAATATGATGTTCATAAACTCATCACCTGTTTTTTTAAAGATTTATTTCTACTGAGCCAAAGATTTAAGGTTAAGTTTGCCATGAACATAGAAGAGATGAATAAAAAAATTAAACAATCTTGTTTGATGGTGATGGTGACTGACTTAGATGAACCAAAAGAAAAGAAAAAACTTCAGAAGGGAGACTTCCCTGGTGCTCCAGTGNAGATGAACCAAAAGAAAAGAAAAAACTTCAGAAGGGAGACTTCCCTGGTGTTCCAGTGGTTAAGACTCTGTGCTCCCACTTCAGGGGATGTGGGGTTCAATCCGTGATTAGGGGTTCAATCCCTGATTAGGGAACTAAGATCCCACATGCTGCATGGCATGGCCATAAAAAATATTAATTAAAAAACAAACAAAAAGGTTTCCTTTAAAGACCAAAAAATACTTCAGAAAGGTCTTATCGTGAGTCCTCCCAGAAATGTGTATACTTTATTCTTTTCACTCTGCGAACAGATGGCGACCTAGCTTCGAGGTCCCTTCCAGCTGACAGCTCCCTGGTGCCTTCACACAGGCTTGACACGGAGACCTTGACACCCACAGCTACAGGAGGCTATTCCTGAGAAATCAAGGGCTCATGGGTCATGTGGGAGAGGCATTCCTCCCAGCTGGAGGGAGACCGCAGGCACGGTTAAGGTGGGGACAGCCCGCTGACAGGCTATGGGATTCAGAGCAATTTTCTTCACCTCTCTGAGTTTCAGTTTCTTCATCCGTAAAATGGGCACCCACCCCTTACCCTGGGGGGTTGTAGTAGGGAGTCAGAGAGAAGCGGTAAAGTTAGTGACTGTCTGAGGCTCTGGCACTAAACTCCCAAACAACAGGTATGAGTTCCTGTCCTCAGTGCCCTGGACAGAGTAAAGCCATTAACAAAGACTTAGGGGGCAGAGGGGCCAAGCAGCTCCGAGACTGAAGTAGTTCTGCGTGGCCAGGAGTCTCTTTAGCTGTATTCAGCCTATAGACAGTCTTGTTTCTTGTTTCATTAGATACACTGAAATCGCTTATTTCTATCGCTGTCCATGGTAGCGGGAATAACACAGACTCTTGTTGGGAGAATCTAGGATTTCAGGCAGTTTCTTAAAGAGAGTTTCAGCTTTTGGAAAGGGGGATAAAGTCTTCCTGAGGGGACTTGAAATTGAAGATTATCCTGGCTCTTGCTATCTGGGTGGCCGAGGACTGCGTGATCTTGCATGACTGTAAAATAGGGCTGTGACCACCTGGAGATTAAAAGGCCAAAGGGAGCCTTCCGGAGATGGGAGGGCAGACCCCAAGTGCCTCTCCTCCTTGTTCCTCCCCTCAGGGGCCTGGATGGCCGTGAGGCTGGTGGGCGGCCGGGGGAGATGCTCAGGCCGCGTGGAAGTTCTGGTCCAGGACGCGTGGGGGACCGTGTGTGACGACCTCTGGGACCTGGCCGAGGCCGCTGTCGTGTGCCGCCAGCTGGAGTGTGGCCAGGCGGTGGCGGCTCCCCCGGGACAAGAATACTGGAGTGGGTTGCCGTTTCCTACTCCAGTGGATCTTCCCAACCGGAGATCAAACCTGTGTCTTCTGCAGTGACAGATGGATTCTTTATCACTGAGCCACCAGGGAAGCCCAAGCTCATATATTAGACGATACCTAAAGATTCCTGGCACCTGGCAGGCACTCACACAGCCATGGCCCCTTCCTCTGGTCGTGTGCCCACCTAAGGGAGTGCATGTGGGGATCGGAAGGCCCTGAGCTGTTGGAGTTTCTCTTCAGCTGAATAATCATGGGCTTCCCTGGTGGCTCAGAAGTTAAAGAATCTGCCTTTAGTGCAGAAGACCCGGGTTCGGTCCCTGGGTCAGGAAGATCCCCTGGAGGAAGAAATGGCAACTGACTCCAGTATCCTTGCCTGGAAAATCCCGTGGATTGAGGAGCCTGGCGGGCTACAGTCCATGCGGTCGCAAAGAGTCGGACACGACTGAGTGACTTAACTAACTTTTCAGTCTCCATGTCATTAGAACAGGCACATTGGATGCCATGCTCCCTAAAATTGTGTGCTTTTGATGTTCTGAGACTAACAAGGAGGGAAGAAGTAGCCACATAGGTTAGTTGAATTAAGTGTACACCACTGGGAAAGTGAAAGATGGTTGTTGAAAAACAGAGATGCAGGTCTTACAATAGAAATTGAGAGACACCTTACCCCCTAACATTTTGTTATGAAAAATTTCAGATATACAGAAAAGTTTGAGGGATTTAATGGTTAACTCCTACCTGGATTCTATGATAAATTTATCAATCCATCTATCATTCATCAACTTACCTTTTGTTAAGGTTTGATTTATGTGCCATAAGGTTCACCCATGTTAAGATCCAGTTAGATGAACTTTGGTGATTGTACACGGTTGTGTGATCACCACTGCGGTCAAGATACACAACAGTTCCCTCGGCCCCAGGGGTTCCCTCGAGCATTTTAGACCTGCTACCCTCCTCCCTGCCCCCTCCCCCAAGGATTTGCTGTGTGACCCTCCTTGCTTTGTTTAGGTGAAGTCACTACGCCCCTGGGGCGAGGGTAACCAAGAGAGAGGTGATAGCCCCCTGATAGCCCGCATACAGCAGGCCACTTGGGGCTAACTGTCTTTGCTTTTGCAAAGTGGCCATGTGGCCCATGTCAGCTTGTCAACAGGCAGTAACGCCATGTTTCATCCTAAATGGGGATCTCAGGGACGGGAGGTCACTGGCCTTAGCAGTGTCGTCCTTATTCCTGCTGAATCCTGATGGGAGGCAGCTGCCCCTTGGAGTAGCTGTTTACCTTCTCTCGATGTTCTGATTCTTCCCTCTCATCACTCCTTCTGTTTTCCCCCGTCAACAGCCCATGAGGACCTACTTCCCACGTCACCAGCAACATCAGTGGCCCAAAACCCACCTGCTTAGGGCCTTTAAAGATGGATACCATCAGACGCCTTAGAGCCGCACGTTGGCATGGGACCCTCGCGGCAGCGTGAAGTGTGTGGGTACAAAGCCACGGAAAGAAAGGAGAGCCAGAGTGGCAGAGAGCAGTCCAGTCCTCAACAGGCAGAGGGAGCGGCCAGCACCCTGAGACCCCTTTCCTCCCCCAGGAGGCTGGGCCCCCCTGCGGCTGGCAGGTGGCCACGGGAGCTGTGCCGGCCGCGTGGAGGTTTTCTACCAGGGCGCCTGGGGGACGGTGTGTGACGACCTCTGGGACCTGCCGGAAGCAAACATTGTCTGCCGACAGCTGGGCTGCGGCTGGGCCGTGGAGGCCCCGGGCGAGGCCCACTTTGGGGAAGGTTCCGGAAAGATCCTCCTGGACAACGTGCAGTGCAGGGGGCAGGAAGAGCACCTGGAGGAGTGCTCCCACACTGGCTGGTTTGCCCACAACTGCGGGCACGGGGAGGATGCTGGCGTGGTCTGTTCAGGTAACCCCACTCCCTTCCCAGGCAGAACCCAGCTGGGCCCTTTTGAAACAGTCCTTTCCTGGGGACAGTGTGAAAAATCACAATTGAAAGTAAAGCAGGACGGGAGCTTCCTTGGCAGTGCAGTGGTTAAAAATACTCCTTCCAGTGTGGGGAACTTGGGTTCGATCCCAGGTTGGGGAACTAAGATCCCACAGGCCGCAGAGCAACTAAGCCTGAGCACTGCAATTGGAGAGCTTGCAACAAAGAACCAGTGCAGCCAAAATTTTGAGAAAAGAAAAGAAAGCAGGATGTTTTTCACTGACAGCAGATGTTTTCATCTCTCCCACTTACAGATGCTGAATACTCAGTGGCCTTGCTACCAGGTGGGGAAGGGGGTGTTCACGTGTGTGGTTTGTCAAAACCTGGTGGGGGGGAATTCTGCAGGAAATTGAATGGGTTTTGCCCTCCAAGTCCATAGAGCAGCTCAGAGATGTGGATGCCCACTGGGAGAGACGAAGAGCCCTTGGAAGTCATTTGTTCCCACCTCACCTCCTACCTCTTCAGTTCTCTGTGCATTTCACACTCAGGAAGCAGATTCAAAATTTCCTAAACTTTTGCACGGCACTTTGGGGTTGTGAGGGCTGGCAATGAGAAGCAGGTGGGGAGTGGTTGAGATGGGAGAGGTAGTTACGGACACTTTCTGCCCATGGGCAGCAGAAGGCTGATGGGCCAGACCTGGCCAAAGTCAAGGCTCAGTTTAATTCCTACCCTCTCCTGGCCTCTCTCTGGTCCTGGGCATTCTGGCCCCATACTGCTTCCTTGCTGTTGGTTTTTCCACTTGCTCTCAGCGTCAGTACCTGGAGTTTTCCACATCTGTGCCCCGTCTCCTTTATCAAACCCCTGGTCCCTTGATGCCTTGCCCTTGGCCAGCTCCTGGCCAAAGGGTGAGTCATGACCAGAGCTGAGTGGACAAGGTCTGATAAAGCTGCAGTCACATCCCCTCCTGGGCTGTCAGCCTTTAGGAGGTAGGAATGGATTGGTCCTTGGACCGAGTCCCCAGTAGGAAGCTCTGGGCCAGGTGTTGCTGGCTGGAGAGATGTTGGGGACAGGAAGGAGCCACCGTGACCTTAGGCCCTGACCCACCGTCTCTGAGCAGCACAGGTCAAAGGAAGCACTCAGTCAGTGCCTCCTCCTGTACTTGCATTGAAGCCTCATAACTCCCCACACTGGGGTCTCAGAAATTGACTACAGGAGCCAGAAGGTCACATCTTTCATTTTCTTAAATTCCCAAATTTAAAAATATCTCATTTACATTCTCTGATTCTCTGTATCCTTCTCTGTCCTTTCTTTTTCATCTTCCTTTTTTTGTTTGTTTGTTTTTGTTTTGTTCCTCTCCTCTTGCTGGTATCTTGGACTTTCAGAAGCTCCATTAAACTTTTCTTAGCGCCTCTTGGAGATAAAGGGCTAGGATAACATGACAAGAGAGTGAGTGCATCAAAGTCCGAAAGATCCGGATCAGTGCTTCTTCCCTCCTGCACGTGATCGCCCCCTGCATGCTCTGCTTCACCCCCAGAGGCTGGCTCGGAGTTCTGGGAGGGGCCCTGATGACGTATCTCTTACCAGCTCCTCGGAGGCTCCTTGTGTGGGTGTGCCGCCCTCAATGCCAGCCGACAATCCTGTGTCCTTTGTGTTTGACAGGTCCCCCTTTGGATGTCATGGCGGAGACGGAGGCTGCAGGTGAGACCAGGCTGTCCTTGGTTGCCCTGATCATCATCATCTAGCTCAGGCCCTAAAGTGATTTTTCGAGGAAATTGAGCAAAATACTACTGCCCTGTCTAGGTCACCCTTCTGAGCCTACATTCTGAGTGACTTGTCCAATAATGAAGGTTCCAGTTCCATTTCTATTAGTCCTAGAAGGTAATCCAAATGATCAAGTGTGGTTAGCCTTCCTGGTCTCCCAGCACGGACACCACATGTGCAGGACAGGTGTGTGGCCATTAGTACCGCCACATTGCCAGGGCACTGCCCCAGGGCACCATTTCAGAGGGCTGTCACCACAGTGGGCACTTTCTCTGCCCTCTCTCCTTCTCTGACTTTCTGTGTCCTTCCCTGTCCTTTCTTTTTCATCTTCCTTTTTTGGTTTCTCTGCTTTGGCTAGGATCCTGGGCTTTCAGAAGCTCCACTAAACTTTTCTTAGCACCACTTGGAGTTGAAGGGCTGCTGCTGCTGCTAAGTCGCTTCAGTCGTGTCCGACTCTGTGCGACCCTATAGACGGCAGCCCGCCAGGCTCCGCCGTCCCTAGGATTCTCCAGGCAAGAACACTGGAGTGGGTTGCCATTTCCTTCTCCAGTGCATGAAAGTGAAAAGTGAAAGTGAAGTCGCTCAGT